AAGCTAAAATAATTAATGCTCCCACCATATTAAATTACTTTATACATTTGAGCCACTGAAGTTTTATTCTTTAATCTTTCCTTTTTATTAAATAAAAAAAAAGAAAGAAAGAAAAGTTGGTGCCAAAGAAGGGTGGGAAATAGGAGAAAAGCGGGCTAGGAAGCAGAGCACATGACGCGCTATTAAAATGGAATGGTCGTCTTCAGCTGACACAGCATGTAGGCTGTTTTGTGCCTTTGATTAAAATAACATTTTAAATGCTTTGAACAAACATATCTCTTTAGACTTCTAAGGGATTATTTTACATATTTCTTCGAGAATGAAGAAATCCATTCGTCCTGTTGCTGAACAGAAAGGCCGAGAATATCTTCCGTTACACATAAAATAAAAATACTGTGGGCTGCTGCAGTATTACAACCCGGAAAAAAGAAGAGGGGGAAAAAAACTGAGGAGGGGGAGAAAGGATGAGGACAAAGCTGCTTGGAGATTAACTTTGCCTTTTATGAAATCATATTTAGTCGCTTTCTTAAACAAACCTACCCACGATGATCTGAAGCCTTGCACTGGGAAATAACTTCGATGTGAAATGAGGGTTCGGGTGGTTTTGGCAAAAGCAGCAAATCATTCCAATGACACAGATATTGGGACCCCAGTCTCCTCAGCAGAGGTCACCCCCGGCAAGGTCTGTGTGTGCTGACCCCAGATGTTGGTACTGCTGCTGAAAATGTCCCTGGAGGGGGGACAACGCAGGCCAAAGGGACCCAGCACCTTTCCGACAACCTGGCTCTGCACCACACTCCCGAGCTGGGCTACCAAGCCCGCGGCCGGGACATGCACTTCTCAATACCTTTCACTCTGGAAGGAGTACGACGGACCGGCAAGGTCTGTGTGTGCTGACCCCAGATGTTGGTACTGCTGCTGAAAATGTCCCTGGAGGGGGGACAACGCAGGCCAAAGGGACCCAGCACCTTTCCGACAACCTGGCTCTGCACCACACTCCCGAGCTGGGCTACCAAGCCCGCGGCCGGGACATGCACTTCTCAATACCTTTCACTCTGGAAGGAGTACGACGGACTTTTTGCAAAACCTGGCTCTGCACCACACTCCCGAGCTGGGTTACCAAGCCCGCGGCCGGGACAGGCACTTCTCAATGCCTTTCACTCTGGAAGGAGTACGACGGATAGTCAACCACCAGGATTCGAACCCTCATCTAAATGCTCTCCGACACCCAGCTTTTTCCAGACTGTCAGCTTTAGGGAACAAAGGGCCAGGGCCCTCCTTTCTCCCTCAGCCTTCTAGATTCAGAAGTAGAAACCAGAACAAACACTCTGCTTTGCACAGAAAGCAGGGCTCCCCAGGGAGACTCCAGGAAGCCTGACCAAGGCCAGGAGGGAGGGACTTGAAGCAAACTCAGCTGTGTGCAGAGCAGGTTGGGAGAGGCAGACTGTGCCTGGAGGCAGGGGAGGCCGTGCCCGTCCTTCAGGTGGTGACACCAGCCAACTAGGTCGTACGCACGAGCGTGCCAGAGGACACGTCCAGCCTTCCCCAAGGGCCGCAGTTCCCACACCCTCTTCCCCAGACCTACTCTTAGGGACAGGCAACATCAGCAGTGTCCTCCGAGCTCAGGGCCTAACCCTCTTGTAACAGATCCCTGCCTCTGAGCAACCATACCCCCATGCCCAGGTGGGCCTGGAACCAAGCCACCAGGAACTCCTCTGCCCAGGGCAGACTCTAAGGAAACAGGGCCCCAGCCGAGAACACAGAGGGCAGGACTGCCTCCAGCTCACACTCTGCAAGTCCCCCATGAGGGACATCCCCTCCCTCCACTGAGGGCTCTCTGCCTGGTTGGGATGCAAGGTTGGGAGGGAGGGAGGTGCTAGGTTGCCAAATGAATGAATGTCCCTAAAAGACAAAGCTTCAGAAACTTCCTTTTGTCACTGCCTATGTCTCCATTGTTAAGAAAAAGAAAGATTAAAAAAAAGAAAGACAGGGAAAAAGAAAGGAAAGAAATAGCAACTTCTTGTCTGCGCACCTCCAGAATGACTGTCCCGTCAATGACTGACAGAATCCCAGCACGGTCCTCTCCTCACCCTCAGCACGCACCCCTACAGACGGGAGGGATCCCACGCGTTGCCAGGCCTGCTCTTCGGCCCATCTCTGCAGCCCCTCCTCTCCAATCACCTGGTATGGAAGAGGGCTGGGACCCGTCTAGGCAATGGGAAGACTGTGGGCTTCCGGAAAGGCAGGACCTTCAAGGCCACCTCATCTTGGACTGGACTGAGCCTGGCCAGCCCAAGCCAGAGGCAGAGTCCCAAGAACTGACAGGCACCCTCCTGCCGGCTACTGGCCAGGACCAATGAGGCTCTGGGTACAACAGCAGGGCGTGGGAGGCCTGGAGGGGCCCCTGGAGCCACAGCCAGGAGGCAGGAGCGTGAGCGCCCGGCGAGGCCAGCGGTGCCAGCGATGCCAGGGGCATGGGCAGCAGCTGTGCGGATTTCCGGAAGCCTGGGTGGAGGAGCGCCCGGGATTCCTAGTTCCCCTCTTAAAATATAAAGACTCAATTATCTTTGAGCAGCTTGCTTTACACATGAATTGACACATTTATTTTACAATAAATAACTGAAAGTTATCTGTGTTTCCTTTACTGTTAATCTACACAGAGAAATAATAAACAGGGCTTGTCTACAAAAATGCAACTACTGCAGTCCTCAGAATTCAATTAAGCTAAAATAATTAATGCTCCCACCATATTAAATTACTTTATACATTTGAGCCACTGAAGTTTTATTCTTTAATCTTTCCTTTTTATTAAATAAAAAAAAAGAAAGAAAGAAAAGTTGGTGCCAAAGAAGGGTGGGAAATAGGAGAAAAGCGGGCTAGGAAGCAGAGCACATGACGCGCTATTAAAATGGAATGGTCGTCTTCAGCTGACACAGCATGTAGGCTGTTTTGTGCCTTTGATTAAAATAACATTTTAAATGCTTTGAACAAACATATCTCTTTAGACTTCTAAGGGATTATTTTACATATTTCTTCGAGAATGAAGAAATCCATTCGTCCTGTTGCTGAACAGAAAGGCCGAGAATATCTTCCGTTACACATAAAATAAAAATACTGTGGGCTGCTGCAGTATTACAACCCGGAAAAAAGAAGAGGGGGAAAAAAACTGAGGAGGGGGAGAAAGGATGAGGACAAAGCTGCTTGGAGATTAACTTTGCCTTTTATGAAATCATATTTAGTCGCTTTCTTAAACAAACCTACCCACGATGATCTGAAGCCTTGCACTGGGAAATAACTTCGATGTGAAATGAGGGTTCGGGTGGTTTTGGCAAAAGCAGCAAATCATTCCAATGACACAGATATTGGGACCCCAGTCTCCTCAGCAGAGGTCACCCCCGGCAAGGTCTGTGTGTGCTGACCCCAGATGTTGGTACTGCTGCTGAAAATGTCCCTGGAGGGGGGCCAACGCAGGCCAAAGGGACCCAGCACCTTTCCGACAACCTGGCTCTGCACCACACTCCCGAGCTGGGTTACCAAGCCCGCGGCCGGGACAGGCACTTCTCAATGCCTTTCACTCTGGAAGGAGTACGACGGATTTTTTGCAAGAGCCCCCGCAACAGGCAGGGCCCAGGGGCCAGTCTGTCTGCAGGACCTCGACTGCCACAGCACGCATACAAGAGAGAGTCTCAAACCCCCTCATACAGGTGGGCAGAGTGAGCCCCAGAGTCACAAAGCCGCGCTCGGAGAGACAAGCCTGCTGCAGCACCCTGACTGCCCTGGGTGCTGGGGCTCCCGCCATGGCCACCTGGGCCCCCAACCCCTCCAGTACTCCCACAAGCACCCATGTCCATATGCTCCCCAACGACCACCTACGTACACGCTACAGAGCCAGAGGAGACCCCAAAGGAAAAGCCCCCTTGGCAAAGCAGTTATGGAGTGCCCACTCCTGTAACCCGCACGGGGCTCCCTGTTGACAGCCGGGAAACCGAGGCACAGACCATAGCGTGGCTAGCCCAAAGTCAACCACCAGGATTCGAACCCTCATCTAAATGCTCTCCGACACCCAGCTTTTTCCAGACTGTCAGCTTTAGGGAACAAAGGGCCAGGGCCCTCCTTTCTCCCTCAGCCTTCTAGATTCAGAAGTAGAAACCAGAACAAACACTCTGCTTTGCACAGAAAGCAGGGCTCCCCAGGGAGACTCCAGGAAGCCTGACCAAGGCCAGGAGGGAGGGACTTGAAGCAAACTCAGCTGTGTGCAGAGCAGGTTGGGAGAGGCAGACTGTGCCTGGAGGCAGGGGAGGCCGTGCCCGTCCTTCAGGTGGTGACACCAGCCAACTAGGTCGTACGCACGAGCGTGCCAGAGGACACGTCCAGCCTTCCCCAAGGGCCGCAGTTCCCACACCCTCTTCCCCAGACCTACTCTTAGGGACAGGCAACATCAGCAGTGTCCTCCGAGCTCAGGGCCTAACCCTCTTGTAACAGATGGGAAACCGAGCTCAGAGAGAGGATGGGGAGAAGGTGAGTGCCCCGTTCACAAGTGCCTGCTCCGTAGCATCTCATTAACCCCCACAGCAACCCTGCAGAGGTGGCTGTCCTTAGCACCACTCTACAGACAGGGACGCTGACGTGTCTAAGTTGTGAAAAACAGATTCCAACCCAAGACTGTCTGGCTCCAAAGCCAAGGACTAACCAAGAGCTCCAGCAGAGACAGGCCAACCAGACTGCAGAGTCCCCCTCTGCCTCTGGCCACCTCTGGATGGGTCCCTGGGCAGAGAGCCCTCACCAACGGCAGGGTGACCACCAGCCCGTCGGGGCCCCCTGAGCCCCAGGCCTGTGTCTTCCTTAGGGTGCCTAGACGGTGGGTCTCAGAAAGGGTGAGCCCCAGCTGGTGACCCTGAGGCCACTGCAGAAGCCCCTGGGCGCCCCCGGCATGACACTCTCGGACAAAGGGCGTGGGCTGGAGGTGTCTTCGGCAGCCCAGTCAGCCCGTGGTTCCATACCTGCAATGTTCTCCTGCTTGGGGCAGATGCCTTTCGTGGGCGAGAGCAGGTGGTCCTCTTCATCAGGAGTGACCTGGATCCCGATTTCCACCGGCTCAGACACTTTCCTGAGCTCAGAGCGTGAGGAGGGCGGCGGGCTGCCCTTGTCCAGGCCTTTGTCATAGCAGGCCCCCAGGCTGCCACACTGCTTCTTCTTGTGCTCTATAAAAACCAGGATGTCCCCCAGGGGGAAGTTCATCTGACACTGGCCACAGGTGAGCAGGTCAGGGTCGGGGCCACCCACCATCAGCCCCAGGCTGCTGGGCTCCTCTATCTCCAGACCCTCGTCTTCTTCGAGGATGGCGGCCTCCACATGGTCAGCCTCTGCTGGAGACACAAAGGGAGGGAAGGGCAGAGAAGACAGAGGTGGGCTTAGGCAGTCACAGCACCGGCACCCATCCACCCTCCCCACCAACAGGCGGGCCCTCTGTGGCAGGCTGCGGAGGTCGCCAGGTCCTCCCCAGCAGTGGGGACACCATCCTGCGGGGACGCGGGGGCACACTGAGGCTCTGGTGCACCATCACGGCCCCCAGGCAGCAGCATAAGCCTCGCTGGTCTTCCTGCTTTCTAGTTTGTTCCCTGCCCATCTCGGCCCAACCGTGTAAGAACACACACCCTGGCTGCCCCAGAGCCAGCGAGAGAGTGTCTCTCCAAGCTCTTCATCTCTGAGAATCGCTTGGGGAGCCGTGAAAAACCTCGATGTCCAGGCATGTCCCAGACCATGACCTTGGGAACTGCACTGCACAGGGGGATGGTTTTAGACTCCTCAGGTACCAAGACTGAGGCCCAGGGAGCTAGAGCACTTCCCTGGGCCTCGAGCAGCATCCCTCACCCCTCCCTCCCCTCACACCTCCCATTCAGTCCTCCCCATTCACCTAGTCCTGCTCACATTCCTCTACCTGAGACCTGGCTGCTCACCAAACTAGGAAACAGAAACCCAGACAGGGTGTCAGAGGGCCAGTTCTTCCCAGAGGAGGAAGCCCACAAGCTCAGAAAGCAACAAGTGAGCATCAGGTTACACACACACACACACACACACACACACACACACACACCGGTGGGGCTGAGGAAGACACTACAGCCCAGGGCATTGGGCATTGCCAGCAGCTCTGTTGCAGGCCAGCAGACCCCAGCCCTGGTCCCACTTTCATTCATTTCTCAGCAGATCCCTCAGCTCGCCTCAGCTCCCCACTGTCCTGTCTCCTTGGTTGGTTTTATTTTCACTCCCAGAAAAAGAAAAAAAAAACAATCTTCAGACTCCACAAGCCTTTCTTGGCAAACAGCATACCACACTTTCGATGGGCTATATGCTTTTATATTTCTTTAGCAGCTGATATAGTTCCTTTCTGTTTTGTAAGGAGCATAGGACCCAGATATTTTGAAGCTAATAAATGCCTCAAAAAAGCAGCAACCCCCTCAAGGGAAAATTGGAAGAGTCAGCAGCCGAAAGTGTCATAAATAAAGGACGGGGACACCGCGGTGGCTTCATTCCCCTGGGGGTCGGAGCCAACATGGGCTGGAATTTTGTGAGCACGAATGTCAACAGGCGTGGGGAAGGCGCAAGTGGGGGTCTGTAGACAAGCAAAGGGGCAGCCAGAGGTCGGAAACCCAAGGAGACAGGTACATCCAAGGTTGGGCTGCACTTAAAAAAGGACAGTGGAGACCACGGAGGAAGAGCGAGAAGGAACGGAGGGAAGAAAATACATTCCGTGGTGGTGAAGTTATTGACGGGCTGGAGCCAAAGAACAGATAATTTAAGGAAAAAATTCTGTGGCATCTTCCATCCTACATATAAATCACTGCTCTGTACTTTCTGAGCACAAGCTTCTTCGGGGCCTCTGAGAGCCCGCGGGTAAGACCAAATGCAGAACGTCCACTGCATGGCGTGGGCTCGCACGATGGGCCACGGTGGGTAGGTAGAGGCAGAGGAAGCGTGGGGAAGGGAGATTACCATTGGAGTGCCTGCCTGCAGTTCCAGAGAGGCAGACAGAGCCCCCGACGAATCACAGACACATGCATCGGAAACATCTCTGTAAAAAAACGCCCCGCAGACGCGGGAACCCTGAACGGGTGTCCGCGTATCTCTAACAAGAAGAACCTACAAGGTAAAGCCCCCGTCCTCGTGAAGCCGGTCCCAGAAACCATTAATTACACTTTAAAAAGAAATCGGAGTTTACTGAACAAGGAGTTTGAAGACAATGCCGCATAATTAATTTACCAATTTATTTTATGAAAAGATGCTTTGCTATGGTTAAAATGTAATCACAACCTTCACGCTGCGCCGTGGTTCTGGGGAGACTGGATTCCCGTGAACGGTTTGTCAGAATGTAAAAGGTAATTATTCGGTGCCTCTTTTCCCTTTAATGATCTAACATTGAGCAATACTGTTTATATTGAAAAGCTCGCACCTTTAATTACCAATTACATATACATAATTTCAGAGCCAAAGGAGAGGGCTGTGAAAACAGTTCTTTAGAAATATAAGGATGTATTGTGTGCCATTTCTAGAAAAGGAACTCCACTAAATGGGAGGAGGATGTCAAAATATTGTTTTGTTATAAAAAAAAAAAAAAAAGAGGCACAAAGGAAAATGAGCTGAAAAGGGAAAAAGGACGAAATGAAATTGAGAATTCAAGTGAAACAGGGGTGAGGAGCCGCACCTCGCATGGTTTTCGAGGCCACCCCTGCACAGGCCCGGTACTCCGCCTCAGTAAAACACAGAGAAACACGCACCTCAGAGGCCGATCCACCTCCCAAACCCAGGCATCCTTTCCTCCGGGCTAGGAGGTGTTTCTGGTTTGTTTTTCCAATGATCTTCACTTTACCTTTTTGTTGTTTTTTATTCACTTTCTCAGCCCTGTCTGCCCTCCCAGGTAAGGGTGCTAGCAAGCATGAATATCTCCTCCCTGCGAGGAGGTTTTAAGACACATCATTTCGAATTCTTTCTCCAATTCAGAAGAAACACAGACTGAAAATCAGCGGAGGTCTCAAATGCCTGTTCACAAGCGGCTCCCGGTTCCTCCCTCGGCCAAGACTACACCAGCACTTTCTTTTCTCCTTTCCTCCAGTCTGGTCTGCTGGTTTTTGATTTCTGTGTGCTGTTTGTGCTGCGTTTTGTTTGGGGTAACATGTGGTATTCTTCCCTTTCCCTGGCCCTCTCTGCCTTTCCCTTTCCTGGTGCAGAAAGACCTGGGAAGCAGTAACCGAGTGTGAAGGCCTCCGAAGCCGGTCACTGTGATGCAGTTCCGAGCTCAGAGTCAAGTCCCCTTGTGGCCAGCCAACCTGGGGAGCCAGGCCCCACTGGCGTCGGGCAGACAGCTCGGGGATTATCTGGACTCCGGGGCTCTGAGCTCTCTCCACCTCCCAGACCAGAGATCCAACCCGCTGCCTCCAAGGGAGTCAGGGAGGAAAAGAGACCAGAAGAAACCGCTCCTCCCCTCCCACTTTCAGCATAGAAAGTAAAACTCCGGAGGATGACAGAGTGTTCGCCCAGCTCTCAAGAATGGGGTTTCCTCTCCCCGCCCCCAGGCTGTGAGGCTCTGAGCATTGGCCTGCTCCGTGGGACACTTCTGAGAAAGGTGGCCAGGTCGCCCCCAGCATTCAGGCAGCAGTCACCCCAAGCCCCTAAACCACCCAACTTTGGGGTCACAGTGTGGACTAAGGCAGCTCGCTTGGCCTAAAAGCTTAAGGCTGAGGCCTTCAGAGACACCCCAAAGACTGTGGTTTCATTTCCGCTGGCAGGCGGATACCGAGCTGGGTGTGTAGGGTGCGTGTGCGTGCCTGTGTGTGTGTGTGTACATGTGCGTGTCCCCTCTTAGAACTGTATCGATAAAGGAAGAAAGAAAGGGAGAAAAAGCCACCTGAGCCAGACCTGAGAAGGACAAAGCAAGCAGGTGTCTGTCCTCGGAGAAGCCTCCTTCTCCACCCAGTGGGTCCCTGAGCCTCACAGCTCTGCTCAGCCCCAGAGGACCACGCTGCTCTGACAGGCAGCATGGTCCCAAACTGCCACTCGAGACAGAAGGCACCAGGAGAGAAAGAGGACAAAAACAGCCTCCCAAGCCCCCAGGACCTTACCAACCAGCCCCTTACTGCAGCCGTGTCTGGCAAACTCTAGCTTTAAAAAAATAAGGCAAAGAAGAGGTTTTCCTCTGAGATGATTTTTGCTTTCATGAAATGCTCCCCCAGCGTCAGGCAGCCCTGCAAAATATTGCTGCTCTCAATATATTATGAGCAGAATAAAGTAGAGCAATTGCTAAAACGTTTGACTCATTAAGAGGAGAAATGAATGGATGCGGCAGGCCACTTGTTCAAATGTCAGATATCAGAGGACGGGGGTGAGCTCTGACATGGTAAATCCTCAAGTGCACGGACAAATATATATTCACACACACACACACACACACATGCACAGAGTCAGATTTTCTTTTACAACAAAACCACACTTTATATTTACAAGGCTGGGCCTCCTCCCAGCTGGTAAACGCATTTAGAAGCAATGAAATCAGGCTTCGCAAATAATAATGGACATCATCGTTAAGTGGAGAGGGAAGCACCGGGTCCCAAGGCAAACGTCCCCACTCCTCAGCTTGGCCGGGAAGGAATTTGGGAGAGAAGACAGGAGTAGAGAGACTTCAGTAGCACTGGCCCGGTCATCCAGCCAGCAAGCCCCCAGCAGCTGCAAGGCCTTCCCTGATCAGAGACTGTCCACACGGGGTTCCCAGGGCCCTGCCCGCCTGGCCCATCCCTAGGAACTGCCCCTGCACCTGCCTTGGGGAATTCCAGTCAAAAGGTCCACCACTTGCTGTCCCCAGAGCACAGGGAGTGTGCTCTGCTTGCGCGCGTGCACACACACACACACACACACACACGCACTGCTACACACAGCACACGTGTGCCTTGTTATGTACACAGCACAGCCTCGCTTACATACATAACACACGTGTGTCTTGCTACAGATGCACACACGTTGCTACATACATAGTACATAGACTCGTGTTCCACTTTACCCAGTATCGATTCAAATCCAAATCTCTCTCTTTAATGGCTAAACCACAGTTCAAGAGAAACATCCACAGAATTATCATTTCAGTGACTGGGGGGGAAGGCTGAAGGGGGAGGGGTGCCAGGCTCTTAAAATCGTGTGCCACCAACGTCACAGCCGCCATCATGATGTATACGCGTGTTTACAAGAAACGCTCTCATCCACCCGCCTGAGCCCCACATCCGCCTGGAGACTACGAAGACCGAGCCTCTGCCAGCAAGCCCATGCTCACCAATAATCTGCCAAGGGATCTCTGCATTCTCCTCCCTGCGAACGTTGGAGGGAGGGGCCAAGGCTCCAGGCGAGACCGAAACGCCACCAACACACGCACTCGACAGCGCACACTTTCTGAGCTGCCATCAATTTTTAATTTATTGGATCCAAGAGAAAATAACAACCGCAGGGAGGGGGGAAGGAGAGGGGTGGATGGGGAGAGTCGGAATCAATTCTTGGTGGAGAAAACAATCTATGGCTAGATGA